TCTGCTTTCTTCCTTAGCTAAGACTGTTTTCAGTAAGATGGAGTCAACTTGAAGGCTTTGCAGAAGGAAAGGTTGCATTGAATAAATCAAAGAAGAAAGTGCTAATAATATGTTAGATGATCCAGTATATTTTAGTATTTTTTAGTATTTTTTACAAAATATCCAAAACATGGAGGAAAGCTTGAATAAAATGTCTGCAGTATAAAAGAATAAAACAACCAACCAGTTCTGCTTTAATGTTTTCTGCAGGCTCAGAACAAAGAAACAAAAGTCCTTGCTGCTGCAAAGGTCATTGATACTAAATCCGAAGAAGAACTTGAAGACTATATGGTTGAAATTGATATCTTAGCATCCTGTGATCATCCTAATATTGTCAAATTGCTAGATGCTTTTTATTATGAAAATAATCTTTGGGTAAGTGGTTACTTTTGTTCCACCGCTTGTGGAGATACTGTGTATTAAATATTAACATTGCCTCCATGCAATCTGCATTTTTTTAAAAATACATTTTTAGAGACAGATTTGCAATTCCCTGCATTTATTGAGCATTTTAAACAAAGCATAACTGATAGCTGATTACTAAGGCAAGTCAGATTGGGTGACCTAAGAAACTCAAAAAAACCATACTCTGTTCTATTAATTAATCATGTCCTGGCTTAATTTCATCTAATAACAGAAATAGAGAGGCAAGGCTGCATGACTCTTTTCTATTTAATTCTCAATAGAAATAATTTGGAGAAATAAGCAGCTCTTAACAAATATAGGCCTAAAAACAAGTCAATTATTTTTGGGAGTATAAGACGCAACTTTCCCCCCCCCCCCTAAAAGCGTGAAAATGTTGGTGCATCTTATACACCAAATGCAGCCATTTTTGGCTACCCGAAGCCCCGCCACCACATCTCATTTTTGTGAAAAACAGGGCGTTTTTTACAATAACGGAGGCTTTTTTGCCTTGTTTCAGCCCCCAGCAGCACTCTGCATGGTTCAGCAGGGCAAGGCAAAAAAGCCTCCGTTTTTTTCAGGGGCAAAAAGCCTCTGGTTTTGATCAGCAGGGCTGGGGCAAGGCAAAAACGGGGGCATTTTTGCCTTGCACCAGCCCTGCTGAACCCTGCAGAGTGCTGCTGGGGGCTGAGGGAAGGCAAAAACTTTTTTTTCTTACTTACCTCTTCAAAATCTTGGTGCATCTTATACATTAGTGTGTCTTATAGTCCGAAAAATGCGGTAGTACATCATATTCAAGTTTCACACCACATATCATCAAATGCATCCATTACGTTTAATATATTCGTAAGACATATAAAGATTATGATCCATTTTGATTTTGAATTACAGCGGATTTGGGCCTTTTAATGAAATTAACCAAACTTATTAATTTCCCCAAAGTTTAAGCAACTCTTTCCAACTAAAAGTGGCCATTTTGAGTTAAAATGTTTCATATTCAAACTGTTTTGCATACTTCTAACCCGAAGTTTAGTATAGGTGATTAAGCTTAATTCCTGTTCTTCAATAAGCCAATTTGAAAAGTAAACATCTATATTACTTTCTTTAAATATGCAGATCCTCATTGAGTTCTGTGCTGGTGGTGCAGTTGATGCAGTAATGTTGGGTAAGTACAACAACATTCAAAATGTTGGCAAAATAGATAATTTCATTGGTAGGTTCTGTTATTTTTAGAATATGAGTACAGTAATGCCTAGTACTTTTTTTGTATAATTTACAGAGATAGAATACACATGAGCGCACAATGTTAGATTATGATTTTAAGTAATACTTTTAATTTTAAAACCTATGTGTGATGGTAGTGGGAAAGGTCTTGGGTGGTTGAAGAGATGCTGCCTAAGGAACAGATAAGACACAATAGATTCTGCACTGGTTAGTGGGTAGGCCAAGAGTTTCAGAAGGGCCCCTCCTTAGTTTCTCAGGCTGTAAAGGATATGGTGGAAGAATATCATTTGCAAATTTGCAAGATTTTGTTAATGTAGCTTTACAATAAAATTATAAATTATTGCTTATTTGGTCATATTTCCTGCTGGTCTACCGGGTAAAACTTGGCATTATATCATTTTAATATTGAAATCTATATAATTTATTTTGGATATTTTGACCTAGCAACACTCCTCCCTCAACCCCCTGCATATTTTACTTTAATTATCAAGATTTTTGGCAAAAGAAGATATTTAAATGTAAGAGTATGCTTTCCTTGTAGAACTGGAAAGACCGCTGACAGAGCCACAGATCAGAGTAGTTTGCAGGCAGACTCTTGATGCGCTGCATTATCTGCATGAAAACAAGATCATTCACCGAGATCTGAAAGCTGGCAATATTCTTTTCACTTTGGATGGAGATATCAAACTAGGTGAGTATTCTATTTCTTAATATAGGAGAGAGTTACATTGTTTTAATTCTAGTGTAGTATCAGTAATAGTTTCTCAATAAATATAGACAGCTATTTCTAGGTTATAGGACCTTAATTATTAGATCTGCTTTAGCTGATTTCAATTTCAAAGAAAACTTTTTTTCCATTGCATGAAGTACCTTAATACAGATAATGCCAATAGAAGAAACTATATGTAGTTCAGGCTTGAACTTTGGGTCCTTGGTGCTTTCTGAGCATAGTTATTTGTTTGCAGAAGTTTTGTTACCAAACTAGATAATACCTTCAATGCTAAAAAGAAATGGAGTTTGCTCTCTGTTTGTATGCAATAGCTTTGCCCTGTTAGTGTTGGTAGAGGAGTTGTTTTCTCATTGGTAGTTCCTTGGTTAGGTTACTGTTTACTTCTTGATTGTCTGGTGTCAATCCCTGCTTATAATGTTGTTTATCTTTATGTGCCTATTGATGGCTGATTTGTCTGAGTTGAAAGATTAATCTTCCTCACTGCAGAAGATGAATTTTCTCATGTCTTTTGATAGCTAGTTGGTGCTCATGCATATACTCTGTTAATTTTCTGCATGTTTGTCTTACATAGTGTTTATAACATTCCTTACCCTGTATGTTGTAGATGACTTGTGTTTTTATTTCTTGGGCTGCTGGGCCTTTTTGATTATTTGACATGTTTTAAAGAGCTTTGGTTGATTTGTGTGCTGTGATGATGCCATGTGGTTGTAATACTCTCTTGGTTGTTCCTGGGGTACCATTTAAATCCTGAAATTGTCATCTTAATGGAAATTGCTTTCCTGCCATACATGCATATGGAATTCTATTTTAAAAAATGGTCAAACGTATCATACTCATACTTGCTTTTTATTATAATGTCTTGCAGTTATAGATACAGGCTTGATGATTTGCTTTTATGCTTTTCCCTCTCCTTTCCTTTTACTTATTTAATATTTTAATTACCATTCTAATTTACATTTAATATAGTGCATGTGTCAAAGACAGCAATAAAAGTTGATCTACTTACCATAAGACTTTTGACAAGTTATACTGAATCTCACATTAAATCAACATAAAGGATATACATCTCATTTGTCTCTTTATTTTTTTAATTTATACCAATTAGTAAAATATATATGTATTGAAAATAACTTTTACTTATGAGATATTGACATGTTTTTTAAAATATTAAATGCATGAAGTAATTGTTCCAAATATATATCTTGGAGAAAAAATGGAATCGAGATAGCTAAGAATGAAACAATGTTTTCTCATTTGGGAAGGTAGGAAACAAAGCAGATAGCTTTGAAACATACATGCAAATTGCTACTTGTGATTCTAAATCAATATTTTTTATTTGTTGAAGCGGATTTTGGAGTATCAGCTAAAAATACACGTACAATCCAGAGACGAGATTCTTTCATTGGCACTCCATATTGGTAAGGCATTTTATAGCCTTTTGAGAATAAACTTTATACATATAACATTGTATATTTTTAGATGAGATATATATATGAGATAAGAAAAATGACAACATTTTTAAGTAATGATAACATAAACAATATTGATGTTACATTCCTTAGTTCTTGAATTGGGTCTTAGCTCAGGCCTTATTTATTGCTAACAATGTGGGTTTTTTTTTCTTACCCTAGGATGGCTCCTGAAGTGGTCATGTGTGAGACATCTAAAGACAGACCTTATGATTATAAAGCTGATGTTTGGTCTTTAGGTGTCACTTTAATAGAAATGGCTGAAATAGAACCACCTCATCATGAATTGAATCCAATGCGTGTTCTGCTGAAAATAGCGAAGTCTGAACCACCTTCGTTGGCACTACCTTCAAAATGGTTATTTTTCTCTATCTATTTATATATTTATTATCAGCACTAGAATAAACTGACAAAAAGAAATATTTGCTCCAAAGTTGACAAAAACTTTTCCCAAAGATATCTTAAGCCTATATTCTAAAGTACTGTAATAAAAGAAAACCACCTGTTATAAATGAATGGAAATATCAATTATTTACATTTTATTTCTACCATTATTTACAATTAACTTATAATTATAATTTTATCTTTATAACTTACCAATTTAATTGCTTTTATGTAGGTCTGCTGATTTTAAGGATTTCTTAAAGAAATGTTTGGAAAAGAATGTCGATGCCAGATGGAACATTGCTGAACTTCTGCAGGTATGAAGAATGAAATATTTTACTATTTGGACTTCTGTTTTCAAATCATATAGCATTCAGAAGGAGCAATTGAAGACATAAATATGCTAAAATGAGACATGTAAAATGTTTAATATTGTAATAGCATCCATCAAATCTGAAGCACTGGTAATTTATGCTCTATTCCCACAGCTAAATTATAACAAAAAGAATTAAGAATTTTTAATGCAATAATAGATATAGTTAAATGTACAAATAGCACTTTGCTTTAAAATTTAATTAAATGTCCATTTGGAGAAAAACAGGATCAGACATACCTGTCAATGCTGCTTCGCTTATTAACCAAGAAAGCAACCACTCAACTCCATTTTGCAGAATTAAGAGTACTTTTACTGATTATAAGTAAATAGAAGCTGAGCAAAGCTAGATCTGAGCAAAAGCGCGCGAAAACATTAGATATCAATACATGACCCATTCCCCTCCCCTTGGTAACCCCAGTCCATAGTCCAATCCAATATCTCCACAGCTGTCAGGTGGGAGACATCTTCAAAAAGCATCATCAGGTTGGTATGCCGGACAGTTGGCCTTGGCAGGAAACTCCCCTCCCCACGTGCAGAAGTTGGTGAGAACAATTCCCAATTAACAGTCCTCCTGTATAGATTATTTCCCTCACCCAAATACCATGCCCTCCCTCCCCGTTTCAATGGTAGCCGAAAAGCAAGCAGCAAAACAGAGGCTGACAATACCTTTCTCCCATACTGGTATGGAAAAAGGACAGACTTGTATTCATTTTTAAGATGATCTGAAATTAATACAGGTTAATCTAGTCTAATTATTGTTTAATAATTTTGGCATCTATTTTTATGTTTGATTTCACTACCATAATTTAAAAGGATTATGTTTCATATTTATAAGGATAATTTGTAAATTAGGCTTGAAGAATTTCTGGACTTAACAGCTTTGAAATCTTTGAATTTAGTAGAAATGTTTTGAGAAAATATATTCAAATACAGGATTTCTAATTCTATTCAAGTAGTGTTGGATGTTGTTCAAAAAACTAGAGTGCTTGTAGATTCCATTCATAATTGTGGAATTGAATTAGCCTATGACTTACTTTCTTCCCAAATTCTTTGTTTTATGATAAAATATATCCATAAATGAAACCATGCAGAGAGGACAGTTTTCCAGAAAAATAATTTCTGCTTTGCGCCTGCAATATAGTTTACTTAAGCAGAAATAAATAGAAACACATTTAGACTTCCAAATATAAGAAGTTACTGAAGAATAAAATGGTTTTTTAAATGAAAAAAAATATTGTTTAGAATTTTGTACAAGAATGGTTCAGTGGAAAAATTAGTTGTAAGCTTTTAATAGAAATCTATTTTTTTTACTTTTCTTGCATCATTTTTTTCATTTTAATTTAAAGCTTTTTAATTTTGATTAAATTCTATATGCTTTTTCTCTAGCACCCATTTGTTACAGTAACTTCCAATAAACCAATCAGAGAGCTGATTGCAGAAGCAAAGGCTGAAGTCACTGAAGAAGTAGAGGATGGAAAAGATGAAGATGAAGAGGAGGAATCCGAAAATTCTCTAGTGAGAAATTTAAAATGTGTACATTAAAAAGAAACTTTGCATTGCAAGCCTAGTGTATAAATTATATTAATTTTTGTTAATGCAAAATTTTTATTATAGAGTTAAATGTCATATAAGCTAATTTCGTCTTCCAATTACTGTAACCTAAAATATTGTCCAGCTTTCTGGTATAAATGCTAAGTAACAAGTAGTTTAAATAGCAAATTGGACCTAGAGCAATTTATAATATGCTGTCATTGGCAACAGTGAATTTCTATTAACAAGTAAACTTGCATACTAAAATAGATTATATTAGTTACATAATATAAATATCTTACACACACACAGTTATATTTATATTAAGTAAATAGTATAATCTATTTATATTATTATTTAATCTACATATATAGGAACATTACAACCTGTATTTTGGAACTTTATTCCGTTCTTCAAACAAGACCAGTTGAGTGTAGGTTGTTGATTTGTTGTTTTGAGTGTTCTGATGGTCTTCCAAACCATAAGAATTTTTACATTTCATTAGCGATAAAATGGCAGGTACAACTTCCAATCATGTTGCAGTTCATCAGAGCTAGTTGAATGGGTGTCCAGTGGTATGACGGATAACCAATAAATTTAATAAATAAAATAAAATGACATATTTTGGTCCCATGTAAGCTGTATGGGTTCTAAGCTGCATTTCCTTTAAGGAAAGTTGCCAAATTCGAAGTGTACAGTGTGCCTATTTATCTATTTATTAAATTTTATACAACCTCCCATCATATTGAAGGCAGATACTGTAATGCAGAAAATTTTAAACGCAATATTTTTTTCTGTATGGTATGCATATAGATTCTCAGATTCAAAGAAAATTTGGATTACAAAAGGTACATATTGGGAAGAAGCTTGTCAGATAATTTGTTCTAATATAAATTATTTATACTGTTATTATAAGTTCTGTATAATCTTAACTTCAGTAATAGGGTGAATATTTAAAATTGAAGTAATTACATGTACAACTAATAATGATTTCAATATCCATTTTAGCAATTACCTGCCAATAAGCGAGCGTCATCTGACCTCAGTATTGCCAGCTCGGAAGAGGATAAGCTTTCACAGAATGCATCTATTCTGGAATCTGTTTCGGAGAGACTAGAGCATTCATCCATGGAAGACACAATTGAAAAAGAAAAGATAAGTATGGAGCCTGGCAGAAATAAAGATGAAGTATTCACAGAAAACACAAGTGATGCCAAGCAGAGCCATACTGAAAAAGGAGAGAATGAATTAGCATTACAATATGCAGTTGAAGAAGCAAAAAAGAGCAAAAATGCGGATCAAAATGTAATATTGAATGAAGACACTATAGCACAAAAAGAAGAAAAGGAAAGCAATACAGTATTATCTATAATAAATGTCAAGCCTGATCTAAAAACAGAAAAAGAAAATGCTTTGTCAAATGAATTATCAGTTGAGAACAGAAATAAAATTAGTCTTGAAATTGAAGCTAGCAGTGCAGAAATTAGAGAAACAATTTCCAAGGAGGCTGATATGCAAGAAGAAAAGCAAAGTTTCATAGTTATCCAGGAAAACAAAGCCATGGAGGAAATGTCAACAGAAAAAAGTAAAGCAATTAAGGAATTACAAGGAAATGAAAAATGTGAAGATGATGTTCTGAAAGAAATTGAAAAGCAGAAATATGAAGCAAATGCCAATATGGAGATGACAGATATAGAGGGATCGTTTGATAAACAGCAGAAACAAATAAAAGACAATACCAGTAGTGCTCAAGAGGGAGGTATTACTACCAAGGTTCAGATCACAGATTCAGTTAAAGTGATTGAAAACAGCCAACAGCCAACAGTGTATACTTCTGAGGATGCTCAGGGACAAATTACTTCTGAACCAACTTTTACTCAGAATGATGTGGATATTGATCAGCAACAGATAGTGGGAGATTATGATGATTCTAACCAGAGAAACACAACAAAGGAAACTGTGGTCAACATTGCAGAAAAAATGGAGGTCATGAAACAGAAGCCAGGATTGAATGATGCTATACATGCTGAAAAACAAAAGAAAACTGAAGAAATCGACACAAAAGATGAGGTTTATGTTGTGCAACCTGGTGATAAATTAGAGATCAGAGCTGAAGAAAACTACAAGAATAATTTTCAAATAAGCACAGATCCTGAGGTGGTTTCCAGTGATTTACCTATTAAAAATCACCTTGGAGATAGTGCAGTGAAACAACCTCTTGAACATGAGGCATCTCCAGTACCAAGTATTAATGTTAGCTGTGTAGAAAATGAGACGGAAAATAAATCAAAGAATCAGAATAATATTGAACATACACAATATCTTGATCCTGAGTCTATTAAAGAAAATGATACAGATTCAGGCACTGGTTCTGCAGCTGATAACAGCAGCATTGATTTAAATTTGTCAATTTCCAACTTCCTCACTAAAAACAAAGATAGTGGATCAATATCTTTACAAGTAAGTGTTGTAATTTAAAATTAAGCCCCATGTGAATTTGAATGAATGCAAATTATAGACTGAGGGTCCCTTCTCTATTTACCATAACTACTTACAAATTTCTATATCATTGTGTCCTTAGAATGTTGCAAATTCTGTATTTCTGCATAGTCATGTTTTCTTCTTTTTTATTGAAAAATTTAAAAAGCTTTTACAATTATTTATCTCCCTCCCCCCCCCCCCCCCCCCCCCCCCCCTCCCCCCCCCCCCCCCAATTTCCCAGAGAAATACAAGGTATAAAATTTTAACAATCATATTCTAAAATAAACTAAAATAAACTTGGCTTCTTCTTTCATTTGCGCTTTAACTCCTCTTTTGTTAAACTAACTATAAACAAATTATATCATTCCTTTCCCTTTCAGTCATAAGATATCTGGAGTTTCTTAGACCCGTATTTATATTGAATATAGTCAATCCGACTTCTCCACTCCAGTTTATATTTCTCGTCTGAGTGATCCTTGAG